TCAGATTAGCAGGGTAAAGAGGTTTTTATGGTGGTGAAAATGAGTAATACGTAGAGGGAGTGTATTCCTTTTATGTTGGGGGTGGGGGGCAGGACACACAGTGCAGTGGGGAAGCATGCTAGTTGATATATCTCTTGAACAGAAAATGGTGGGTAAATCCATCCCCAGGGTAGGAATTTTAGTGTTATAATGAGCTAGGGGTTAATATTGTTCATTCTTTCAGCCTATGTGCAGGCTCAGTGGCTCTTGGTTACAATCTGAGATGGTGTATTGCTTATCTTGACTTTCTCTGGACATTTTGGTAGAGTATGGCCTTGTAGTTATCCCAGGGTTGCAAGGAGGTTCTGCTGTTTCCTGGGAAAAACTCAAAGAAATTGTATCAGTGTACATAAGATTACAAAGTTCTGTTCAGTAGTTTGTACTGAGACCTCTGTGTCTTTGCTTTTTCTAAGACCGCGTTGCTAGGTCACTGGAGCTAATACTCATTGCTTCATCTCTGTCCAGTCAAGGCCACTTAGCTGCCTGCTTCAGTTGTGATGCGAACACTAGAAAGTCTTTTGGAATATGAGGGAGGTAAGACCCTAGAGAATTGTAAAACTTTGTTATAAAACTTGTCACACCCCTTCCCACCAATCGACCTCCCCCTTTCCCTTCCTTCTTCCTCTTACCCCTCCCCCTTGTTAGACTATATCTGTGTTTTATCACTAGTGTGAGTGTTTAAGTGTTTATATATTGGTTTCATATTATTATTAAGTACATTGGACAATTTTTCCCCATTCCTGAGATATTATATTAAGAAGAATGTGTTCCAACTCCATGTAGGTAAAGTTAAACATAAAAGATGTGAAGTCTTCATTCACAAAGATGTGAATACTTCATACTGAATAGTATTCCATGGTATACACATATCAGAGTGTGTATCAGAGAAGAATGTGTTCCAACTCCATGTAGGTAAAGTTAAACATAAAAGATGTGAAGTCTTCATTCACAAGATGTGAATACTTCATACTGAATAGTATTCCATGGTATACACATATCAGAGTGTGTATCAGAGAAGAATGTGTTCCAACTCCATGTAGGTAAGTTAAACATAAAAGATGTGAAGTCTTCATTCACAAAGATGTGAATACTTCATACTGAATAGTATTCCATGGTATACACATATCAGAGTTGTTAATCCATTCATGGGTTGATGGGCATTTGACTTGCTTCCACGACTTGGCAATTATGAGTTGGGCTGCAACAATCATTCTCATGCAGATTCATGGTGGTTAAAATGATTTTTGTTCTTATGGGTTGTATTAGTTTGCAATCCCAGAAGCAGTGTAGAAGTGTTCTCTTCTTTCCACATCCATGCCAGCATCTGCGTTTGGGGGACTTTGTGGTGTTAGCTAGTCTTACTATAGTTAGGTGATATCTCAAAGTGGATTTGATTTGCATTTCTCTGATTATTAAAATGATGAACATTTTTTTCATGTGTTTATGGGCCATTCATCTGTCATCTTCAGAGAAGTCGCTATTCAAGTCTCTTGCCCACAAAGAAATGGGGCTGTTTGTTCGTTTCTTATTTATTAATTTGAGTACTCTGAAGATTCTAGTTATTGGACCTTTTTCAGAATTATAACCTGCAAAAATCTTCTCCCATTCTGAAGGCAGTCTGCTTCCTTTTTTATAGTACCCTGAGCTGTGCAGAAGTTTTTTAGCTTGATCAAATTTCAGTTATTTATTTTTGGTATTGCTGCAATTGCCAGGGGGTTCTTCCTCATAAAAATATTTCCCAGGCTTGTATCTTCAAGCAATTTTCTTGCACTTTCTTCTAGAATTTCTATAGTTTCATGTCTTAAATTTATACCTTTTATCCAGTGAGAATCAATTTTTATTAGTGGTGATAGGTGTGGTTTCAATTATGGTCTTCTACAAGTGGTGAACCAGTTCTCCTAGCACCATTTGTTAAATAGGGATTCTTTTGCCTAATGAATGTTTTTGTTAGGCTTATCAAAGATCAAATGACAATATGTGGCTGAGTTCATCTCTAGATTCTCTATTCTATTCCGTACCTCTACATGTCCATTTTTGTGCCAGTACCATTCTGTTTTGATCACTACAGATTTGTAGTATAACCTGAAGTCTGGTAGTATGATGCCTCCAGATTTATTTTTAAGTATTGTATTGACTATTTGGTTTTTTTTTTGAATTCCATATAAAATGAAGTACTATTCCTTCAAATTCGTTTAAGTAGGACATTAGTGCTTTGATTGGGATTGTGTTAAATGTGTAGATTGCTTTGGGTAGTATGGACATTTTAATAATGTTGATTCTCACCAGCCATGAGCAAGGTATATTCTTCCATTTGTTAACATCTTCTGCTATTTCTTTTCTCAGGGTTTCATAGAGATCTTTCACACTCTTTGTTAGATATATTTCCAAGTATTTCATCTTCTTTGGCACTACTGAAAAAGGAATAGGAATAGAGTCTCTGTTTACAGTTCTCTGCTTGACAGTTATTGATATAAATAAAGGCTACCGATTTGTAGGTATTCATTTTGTATCTGGAGACACTACTATATTCCTTGATTACTTCTAAGAGGCTTATAGTTTAGTCCCTGTGGTTTTCTAGGTTTCAGATCATGTCATCTGTGAAAAATGAGAGTTTGACCTTCTGTGTCCCATTTGAATACTGTTGAACTCCTTCTCTTGCCTGATTCTGATGGCTAGGACTTCTAGTACTATGTTGAATAGCAGTGGTGACAATGGGCATCCTTGTCTAGTTCCACATTTGAGTGGAAGAGCTTTTAATTTTACTCCATTAAATACAATATTTATAATCTTAAATATAATTAAAATAATATAATATGGCTGTGGGTTTGCTGTAGATGGTCTCTATCAGTTTAGGAATTGTCCCTTCTAAGCCTATTTTCCTAAGTGTCCTAATCATGAAAGGATACTGGCTAAATGTTATCAAAAGCCTTTTCTGCATCAATTGAGAAAACCATATGGTCTTTGTTTTTTATTTTATTTATGTGGTACATTATATTCATAGATTTACATATATTTAAACAAACTTGTAACCCTAGGATAAAACCAACTTGATCATGGTCTATAAGTTTTTTGATGTGTCATTGAATTCTGTTTGCTAGGACTGTATTCAATATTGTATCAATATTCTTTAATGATATTGGTGTATAGTTTTCTTTCTTTGTTGGGTCCTTTTCTGGTTTGGGGATCAAGGTGTTATTTGCTTCTTAAAAGGAGGATTCCTTCCTTTTCTATGTCTTGGAAAAGATTATGTAATATAGGTGTTAGTTCCTCTTTTGAGGTCTGGTAGAATTCTGATGTAAAACTATGTGGTCCTGGGCTTTTCTTTTTTGGGAGATTCTGTATAATTGACATATTTTCAGTACTTGATACAGATCTATTCAAAATTTCCCAGGAATTTTTTGCTTGAGTCTAGGAAGGTGAAGTTCTTCCAGGTATTGGTTCATTTCCTTCAGATTTTCATATTTCTCAGAATAGAGTTTTTTGTAGTGATCATTGAGGATTTTTTTTTTTTTTTGGTATTTTTGTGGTATCCATTGTTATTTCCCCTTTATCTTCTGATTGAAGTTATTCGAGATTTTACTTTTCTGTTTCTGATTAGTTTAGTGAAAGGTTTATCAATTTTATTGATCTTTTCAAAGAACTAACTTTTTGTTCTGTTGATCTTCCAAATGATTCTTTTGTTTTCAATTTCATTTAATTCTGCTCAAATTTTGGTTATTTCTTTTCTTCTTATGGATTTGGGTTTGGATTGATCTTCCTTTTCCAGTTAGTTAAGATGGCCTATTAGGTTGCCATCTTGCTCTCATTCTGTTTTCTTGATGAAGGCTTCTAATGTTATAAAATTTTCATATAGGACTGCCTTTGCAGTATCCCACAAGTTTTAATAGTTTGTGTCTTCATTATCCTTTTGTTCCAAAAATCTGATAATTTCCTTCTTAATCTTGTCATTGACCCAGCTATCATTCAACCTAAGGTTATTTAGTTTGCATGACATCGTTTGAGTATGAAGATTTCTGTTGCTGTTGAGTTCAACTTTTATTCCATGGTGGTCTGAGAAGATACAAGGAATAATTTTTTAAAAAATTTGTTGAAGTTATACTTGTGTCCTAAGATATTATCAATATTGGAGGATGATCTTTGGGCTGATGTGAAGAATGTGTATTCAGTTTTATTAGGAAGAAATGTTCCATGGATGTCTGTGAAATCTATTTGTTCTAGAGTCAAGTTTAAGTCCATTATTCCTTTGTCTGATTTCTTCTTAGAGGATGTGTCCAGAACTCACAAAGGATTGTTAATATCTCCAACTATTATAGTGAAGGAAGATATCACATTATTCAGAACTGTTGGGGTTTGTTTTATAAATCAAGGAGCATTTAGGTAGGGTGCATAAATGTTAATTATTGAAATATCTTCATGTTGAGTATTTCCCTTGACAAGTATATAGTGTCCTTCCTTGTCTTTCCTTATTTTTTTTGGTTTAAATCCAATTGTATCTGTGAACCAGATTGCAACCCCTGCTTTTCTCTGATTTCCATTTGCCAGGATTGCTGTTGTTAATACCTTCACCCTGAGTTTTGTTTTATCTTTTCAGGTAATGTGAATCTCTTGGAGGCAAAAGATAATTGGCTTGAATTTTAGTGTCCAGTTAGCCAAAATGTGCCTCTTTAGAGGATAATTGAAACTATTCACATTCATTAAGAGAATTGACAGGTATGGTAGTGTTTCAGCCATCTTGTATTTCAAAAGTTCAGTGCTTATTTTTACTCCTTTTATCATTGTGGAAGGTAGGTTTTGTTGTTTAAATGCTTGGTGAGTTTACTTTGGTGGTAGACCATCATGCTTGTCATTATGAAAAATGAGTCTGAGTATTTCCTGGAGAAGGTGTCTAGTTATGGCAAATTTTCTTAACATATGGATGTTAGGGAAGTTGGCATGGGTTTTCTGGGCAGACTGGCCTCATCATGTTGAAGGTTTCCTTTATGAACACCTTGAAGTCAAACCCACAGCTGCCCTACAAATTACTTAGTATTCCTGAAAGTATGCTTTTATTTTTGCAGTTTTGGCCAGGGCTGGGTTCAAACCCATCACCCCTGGTATATGGGGCTGGTGCCCTACTCCTTGAGCCACAGGCACCACACTGAAAGTACATCTTTTATAGAGGTCTTAAAATTTGTAGTAGGAGAATTTAAAGCTCCTGCTGCAAAAAGTGCAATTATTACCAATGATTGAATAGGAAGAAATCCCACATAGACTGTTGGAAATGTTTTCCTGCAACATGGTTCAGAACTGAGAATTATACCTAGAGATAGTGTTGGAAGTTGTTAATATCTGGCACTTGGAACATACGATTTCCTTTCAGAATAAATATTGATATTTTTTGTTGTGAGATTGAAATCAGACATTGGACATATAATGAAAAAACCAGGTATCAATGGAATAATAAGAAGTGGCTTTTCTGTGTCTTTCTGCTCATATTCTTCATGTGAAGAGGCAGTGTTTAGAATTGAGGAGCTACAACCACAGAAGATCATACAGTCTTTGGTTTCTACCTCACAGCACAGGCAGTTCATTCTTTTGGGTAAACAGGTCATTTATCTGGGTTTTATAATTGGAGGATGTTTCTGATAATTCTTTCTGAGAACATTTGGAAAATTATAAATCTAACATGTTTGTCTCAGTTAAAATATAAAAGTATTATGGATCATGGATGGTAGTGTGGCTTGATAGAATCTGATTTGCAGGCTCATAATTTGATTCTTAAATATATACAGTAATTTTTGATGAAGGCAGTAGACATGTAAGTGAATACTCAGCTGTCTTAACATTTTATCATTTAGATTTAAGTTTAAAACCTTATGTGTCATATAAATTTCAATTTAATATCAAATAAAAATTGAAGTTTTAAATCTAGCTTTTATGTATATAAATTGATGTCCCATATTAAATTTTAACAGTGCCCTTGCAGAATTCAATACTGGTAATGGTGGGAGTTGATGATACAGTAGAAGCTGAGTTATGCATTCTTTTATCAATCTTTTTTAATACAAACTTTTAAAGTAGTGACTCTTAAGAAATCTTTTTTAAAGAGAATATTTTTAAGTAGCAATCAGGAATAAAGTGAAGGTCAAAGTTGATTGGAAATGCTGATGAGTTATACACTGAAGACTCAACTTTTAAGGAAGGGCTAGAATTAGTCTCCTAAATGACGAGGAAGCCAGGAGAAGCAAGATGGGAAAGCTCAGATGACGAAACTTCTGGTAAGTAGGAAAGCAACAGGACAATAGGAAGGGGACTGGAAAACTGTAGCAGAGTGTCATAGAAAAAGCCAGCTGTATAAACCACTGCAGAGAGTATGTTGGGGAGAACTGAAGAGAAGACAAAATGCTTTACATAGTCAAAGTAGCAGAAGGCAGTTAGACAAAGCAAAGTATTGGCCTTGTCAGCATACAGATTTGAAAATACCTCTCATGAGAATCCAAATAATTGCATAATATAAGGAAAGATTTTATTTGCCCTTCAGAGGAAATGAGACTCTGTGAAAATTTTGAAAGATGAAATGAAGGCTCACAGTGATTCCAAATCAGCACTTGAACCACTGTATTTTAAATGGTGAGCTCTTTAGAGGCAATGATTGTGTCTGGTTGGTTCTTTCTAGAGCTGGAAAAGTAAATACTTGCTGAATTATTCATGAATAAATTCTCTAAGACTAAAATAAAAATTGGATGTTAGTAACCCGGTTGCTTGCAGGATTTTCTCCTTCATGTTAACTTTGACAAAGTTAATTACAAAGTGTGTAGGAGATAGTTTATTTGGATTGAGTCATGCTGAGGTTCTGAAACTGTCTACTATCTGAATTTCTGTATTTCTTGCAATGCTCCATAATATCTTATACTAAAGGATTTGTGCCTTTAGGATGATCCTCTTCTCCTTCAGGAATTCATATCATTCAGATGTTTGACCTTTTGGAATGATCCCACAACACTCTCAGGGAATATTTTGTTCTTGTTCTCCTTTTCTCTGCCTCTTGGTATGATTGGGATCATTCAGAAGTCTTCTCTTCAGTTTCTGAGATAATTTCTTTGGCCTGCTCAACTTTACTATTAAGGGTCTCTACTGTATTTAGAAATTCCTTGAATATCATCTTCACTTCTTTAAACTCTACTATATCTTTTCTTATTATGTCCTTATCCTTGATGACTTTGTCTTTGAATTCATTACTTTCTTCATGCAACTTTTT